GCTGCAACGTCAGACCCGGCAGCACCCGCAAGCCCCCTGCCCCGGTGTTGGCCCTCCCCGCTGCCCTCCTGGGCCTGCCCTGGCTCTGTGTTCTCCCCTAAGCTTGCCTGCTCCTGGTCCGGAGGATCCAGGGAGGGTGTGAGCCCTTGGGGCTACTGCCCTGGCCTGGTGGCACGAGGGTTCAGGTGGATTGGGGGTGTTGGGGTGTGTGTGTGGGATCCTCTCTATTGAGCAGCTGACTGAGTTTTCTCTTTGCCCCGATGTGTGTTGCCCTAGGTCTGACCCAGCTCAGCAACCTGCTCCTGGTGGGGGAACCCCCGAAGGAGGAGCTCCTGGTGGGGGAGCCCCTGAAGGGGGAGCCCCTGGTGGGGGCCCCCCCGGGCCATCCCCCAATCTGAGCAGTAATCGTCGGCTGCAGCAGACGCAGGCTGAAGTGAAGGAGGTTAGTAGTTCTGCCAGCTATGCTGGCTCACTGTAGGCTGCCTGGACTCTTCTACTGCTCTGCAGCAGCGAGCTTCTTGACAGGCGTCTGTTACTGAGGGGGTGGACGCTCTTGCTATGCCACTGCCAGAAATGCATTAGTGATTAAAGTATGATGGCAGACCTATAAAGAGGCAAGATTGCTTTATGTTTAAAAGCTGCGTAATTTCAGGTATGACGCCTAAGGAGCAGGCCAATTAGATTTTTGGTACCTGGTATTGTACATCTGTTATGGAAATAAAGCGATACAGTATCCAGAACAGCTCTTAATCCCTGCCTGCTGCTTCAAGTGAACAGTGTGTGTGCAGACTCAGTGTGTGATGTATGGGAAACCTTGCCTGACTTTTTGAGGGTCAGTGTCTGTAGCGCGGCTGCTGACATGCAGTAACGCCTTTATGCCTCACTGGGGCAGCAACGTGTAGCTCTTAAGTTACTTTTGCAGTTACCTGCGTGGGAGCATACGATTATGCTCATGGGGAGGGTAGTTTAGGCTTGCTGGATTTGAGAGCTTTTAAAAACAGGTGAGAATGTGGGGCCGAAGACCCGGTTTAAGGGTACTTGAACTGATACTTTAACAGGGGGTCTCGAATTTTTTCTCCACTTCAAAGTATGCAATTACTTGAAAGCTGTTTCTTATCCTGACCTTTTTTCCTTGTTTAGGGCTTTTGCTTGTTAGTATTTCAGTGTTAGGTATTGGCCAAGTTACTTCTCTTACTTTTTCAACTCTCTTTACCAATACAACTGCTGCTGCTATTCTTCCTTCTGCAGGTGGTTGATATAATATGTGTAAATGTAGACAAGGTGCTTGAACGAGACCAGAAGCTGTCAGAGCTAGATGACCGGGCAGATGCACTTCAGGCTGGTGCCTCAATATTTGAAAGTAGTGCAGCAAAACTCAAAAGGAAGTATTGGTGGAAGAACTGCAAGGTGAGTTTCCTAGTGCCATGGTCTCCTTCGTCAGAAGGAAATTGGGCTAGTCCTCTCCTGCAGGGTTTTAAGAAGATAGTTGGGGCTTAATAATGGTTTCAAATGCTTAGGATCCTTTCACTGTAGAAAGACTTTGAGGCCTTGTCTGCCTTATGTTCCCTGGCTGTCAGGGAAGATGTGAACTTCTCAATCTGTTCTGAGTGTATCTTTGACAATCTCTCTCTACAGATGATGATCATGATGGGAGTGATTTGTGCCATTGTGGTGGTGGTGATTGTAAGTAAGTACTGAAAAGCCCAGGATCAAAGGTGAAGAAGCACTAACTCTAGAGTACTTTAAACTCTTCCTTTTTGGTTTGAGATCTGGAGGGTCTTGGTTACATAAGTGTTAACTTCTGTCCTTGGGGAAGGGAGGTGGTCGTGCTGGAACTCCCATGCTTATTGTGGAAATGGTAGGCTTTACATAGTGAGGAAGGAACTGGGGGTGGCCATCCTTGTAGAAATGGGAAATTCTGTCTGCCAGGTCAGGTAGACCTCTAAGTATGAGGGGCATTTACCCTGGAGTGGGTGGGTTGGCAAGTCCCTTCCCTGGTGGGGGAACTGGAGGTCTCTGAGGGACCTTTGGTGTAACTTTCCCTTCTGTTCTTTCCCTTTTTTTCCCCTATTGCTTTGTCTCCAGTCTACTTTTTTACTTGAATGTAGCTCCTTCAATCTGCAACCTACTGTCCCCTGTCACCTTGCCTGTCTCTTCTTGCCTCTGAATCTTTCCTTCCCTTCCCTTCCACCTGGCTTCTTCATTGATTTCTTTATTGGTTTTAATTTGTCTTCTGTATGGGACTCTGAAGTGCTCTACTGAACATGATTAGACTCTTCAACAGCTGCTGCAGCTTTAGGGAGGGTCATCTGAGTGTAGAGGAGGAGTGGGTAGCTATTCCTCCTGCTCTTCTGCAGGGAACTTTTGTGCTTTATTTTTGGGTGTGAGCTTGTCAAATAGTGCCTGTATGGACTCTAGCAAAATAAGAATGCCTTAACACAGTGCCTTTGGGGATGAAGGACTTCAGCATGTGAGATTCTTTAGTGTTCTGTCTAAAAAGAGTGGCAGCATGACTTAAGATTTTCATTGAGCTTCTGAAATAAAGGCTAGTTTGTGTTGCTCAGTGACTGTAAGCTGTCTGACTGAGCTAGATGTAGTTATCTAGATTCCTCTAGCCACAGAGAAATGAGCACTTAAATGATTTATTCTGCCTGTCTTTATTTTCAGATGACTTGCTGTCTGAACATGGCCATTTTGGTTATTATAAAGGAGAGCCTACATGATTACCTCAGTCAAGTGCAACAAACTAAATGCAGTTAAGTGAAAGGAGGTTTTTTTTCACTATCTAAAAGGCATGTGTGCGAGTAAAATCTCCTGCCACAACAGTAAGGAGTCTGGTGGGGGGTGTCAAATATTCCTTTCATCTATGCAGACACAAGCCAGGACCCTGTGGTTTTCTACTATCCTGTAGCTTTCTGGAAGACTTTGGGGCAGTGGGAGAATGGGAATGGGTGTTTTGCTTTTGTGTTACTGGGTTGAATGTCAAAGGAAGTCCACTACATAGCAGATGGAGGTGAAGGAGACTGGAGGTACTCCAGATGAGGCCAAATGAGCCACACAGCTTTCTGGTGAAGAATACCTGTTCTGTTTCTGCTACCACAAAGCCCTAACTTTCATCAGGAGTTAGAAAATACTTGGAATGGTTAGCTAGGGTTTCAAAGCCGAATGCTGCTCTGGGCATGGGTATTGCAAAGTGGCAATCTCAAGAGATCTTGCCTATCAGACTGAAATCATCCTACTTGCTATGGGTTCTCTTGAATTTAGGTCCAAGGTGGTCTCTGCTGGAAGTAAACTTGCAGCGTGGAATGCTGTGGCTTTCTGTAAGCAATCCCCTTGTTCTTCTCCATAACAAGAGCTGTGAATTGCTTGAATATGTTGTCAAATCTGGGGTTAAATGAGCTGCCCTGTTCCTCAGTTTCTGCAGTCTTCTGAGGAAGGGGCATCTTGTTGTCTTTTTTTTTTTTTTTTAACAAGCAGAGCTGTAGCCTGTAACCTAGACTGGAAAGAGGGCACTCCTTTAATTTAGGAAGCTCTACCCTGGTTCTAGAATACACTGTGATCTGCCTAGTCTTAAGGGGATGTGGGGAGGCAGGGGAGAACATCACTGGAGTTCCCAGTTGGGAGTGAAGTACAAAAGATGGGAGGAGCAGATGCTTTTTGTTTCATTGAGTGTGTTGGGGAAGCCCCTTTCCTCCTCACAGGCATGTGGGAAGGGGCTAGGTTTGCATGCTCACTTCCATGCCCCAGCATTTCATTTGCGCTGAGTTCATCTCCCTGCAATTTCATCCCTCTCCACCTTGGGTGAGGGCAGAGATGAAGATCTGGAGTGATGCAGCCCTCGTCCTCTGAGCACTTCCCTAATTCCCTGTGGAACTGAAATGTGATGGATGGTCAGAAGTGCATCTACTGAAGAGGAGCCAGGGCCTGCTTGTACTACTTACTGCTATCATTTCAGGGGGTAGGCATACAAGCTTGAGGCCCTCAGACCAGAAATTCTCTTAAACTTTTCTAAACAAGCCTTTGGTGCCCCATTCTTCCTGTTCCTCTGGAGGCTGAGGTCCTCCTAGGCTGTCTCTTCCATTTATTTTTTAGATGTTGTATGTTGCCTCTTCTGCTCCCTTTCCTCTCCTTTGTGTCTCTATGCATGGGCAAAAAAAAAAAAATCACCAAGGCCCTCTGAATAAAAGCAAGGGACTCTGCTGTCCACAGCATTACAGCCACTCACGCACGTGCAGTTTATTTCCTTCCTCTATAAACACAACTGTAATCTCCTCTTGCATGTTATAGTAATCAGTTCATGTACTTTAAAAGGTCTCTAAGAAACAATACACCACCTTACTGAGTCTGTCTGGTCTGTCAGTGGGTGGGGAGGGGCTGGGATGCCAAACTGCTCTTGAAATGTTCCACCCCCATCACTTCCATACTATACACACATCTGAAATTCTGGCCCTCAGAGTGGCTGGTTTTCCATTGCAATGATGGTAGTTCCAGTTGTACTGGAACCATGTGCTGGACTGACTCTGTGCTAAGTCTGTAACAAGATGTATGAACGAGCAACTCTGGGGGAAGAGGCTGCCCAAGCCAACTCTACTTCCAGCCACCAAATGTCTGGCCACTGTGTAATCCATGGGGAGGTAATCCCCTGAGTGGGAGGGTGTGTAACTGGTAGCTCTGGTTCCTCAGGCTGTCTGCCTTTGGGTTTCAATAACCTATCCTCAGATCCTTAAACCCAGAAAGCAATTCTTCATTGGTGTTGGGACATAAGTTCAGGATCCAAATGAAGACCTCCAAGACTAGGATGCTGTTCACAGCATATCTTGGAGCATGGTTGGAATACAGTTAAGTGCCCCCTTGTTTTGCTTCACTGCACACTTGAAACTCATTAAAAAGAAATAACAGAGCTTTGTCCAGTGTGGACTTATTTTACGGTGAAGTGCTTGTGCCCGTATCTGCCCCTGCTGTTACAAAGTTTAGGTTGTAAAACAGTACTTGTGGCTTGTGGTTCCCTTATGATCAATCTTTGTCCAGTCTTAAACATCACCAAAATCATACCACAACAATGTATGGTCAATGGTGAATTTGGAGCAGTGCAGGTAGACTAATTCTTTCAAAGATGAAAGCCTTCCTGGGAAAGGAGGGTGTCTGGTCTGGCTGGTGGATTAAAGCAGCATACACAGTCTATACTTCAGCACGCATCAAGACTGCACAACCTGAATGAACTAGGCATGCTGCAATTCCTGCCAAGTTGTGGGTTGTCATCTTGGTTCTCAGCCTTGTTCATGTAGGGGGCCATAGGAAAAACTTTTTCTTAGAACAGATGTGTTTCCAGACTGTTGACTGCACAGTCTCTAAATCCTTAGCCAAACCTGGGGACTTGAGTGCTTGCTTTCCAAAGCTGGCCAGCTGCTCTGGAGCACAGAGCTGGGGCTGAACATGCTGCTGAAAGTTGTCCCAGAGTTATGCCCAACTTATGAGTTATGTGCATGTTTGCAAACAGTTACGTGGCTAACCATAAATCCTCCAGTACATGTTTTAAAGTACCATGCTCTGCTGGGAGCTTGCCTTCTGAGATGCCATCCTTTAAAGCATCAGAGCCACTGCTGCTCCTGTGGAGTCTGTTGTCGGGACAAAATATGGTTTTAAACATGCATTAAAAGGCTTTGGCAGAGTAGTTCTTCATGTGACTAATTAGAAATTCAAGCTCTGCCTTCAGACATGCAGCTCCCATATCAACTGCTTCATCCTGACATCTTCGGATTTGGTGGGGGAAAAGCCTCAACTGTATTGCCTTTACATGGATATGTCTTAAACCTTCACATTTCTAGATGCCCTAGGCCTTGCTCTGGCCTTTCCTGAGGTTTCTGTGTGCTGACTAAAGTAGGCTGCATGCTCTCATTGGTGGGGGAGTGTTTGTTTTCTTGTCTCATTTGGAGAGTAGCCAAATGATGGGGAAGACAAAAGGTTTTTTTCTTCAGAGTAGGAATGCAGCATTAACACTTGTTTAATGGACCTAGCTTTCCTGTGAAGTGACAAAGGTCTCTGCTCTGATGTATCCACTGGAGTTGGAAGCCTTACCTTGAAGAGAGGCAATAATGGGGAAGTACAGAAGTTTTATCTTTGTTCTGACCTCTAAGCAAATAATTACTCTGAGAGATGTAACAGATAAGGATATAGGTTTTACAAAATGGGCAACTTAGCTGCGTCTGTTGGAGACATGAGTTCAGCCCTGTGTTTCCTCCGGGTTACCTACAATGCTTCCTCTTGGAAGAAGTAACTGCATCCCTTCTCAAAACTTCCCCTGTTTACAGGCCAAAATAAAGTTGCACTTCAGCCTCCATACTTCTGATAATCTTTGACATATTTTTTGCCAGAGCTAGTTATTCAGAACACTCTTATTTTCTCCAATATGAACAGCCCCCTAACATCCTTTCCTTCAGTGCGTAGACCCACTAAATGATTCTTGCAGAGGCCAAAATGTTCTCTCCTGCCAGACTTCTTTCCCAAAAGCCCTTATACTATTTTTTTTATAAATTTGTCATAATTGGATACTAAGCTGTTTTTTTAGTTCATTGTCTTTAAGCATGTACTTGGAAGCTGAAGGTGCTTTCCTATCTTGTGCTCACAAGACTCCTTTAAATATTGCACGTTGGTAATTATAAAGAACTACAAGACTGAACACAGCCATCCCTCTGGTGTGTTCCTGATATCTGTGGTTCCCCTCTGTCCTTTCACCAGCAGCACTGCTGCCCTTTTAATTTTTTGCTGTCCCAAGAGCTTGGTAACCTTTTTCTCAAATTCCTTCTAGGTTTGGTCTCAGTCTGTACAGACAAACCTTACACCTATCTGTCCAGCTCCTCTAAGCAATCCAGCAAGCAGAGTTCAGTTTTTCTAAATGTATTGCTTATTTTCTAAAATAGTGGTTTTCTCATTTTTCTAGCTTCTTTAGACACTTACGTTGTACTTCCATGCATTTCGTCTATTACCTTAATTTTTATGGAAAAAACTAGTTTTGGTATCTGTCAAATTGCAACTGTCACACTCTTAAGGAACAAGTTTTCAGCAGATAACAGGGTGTGCCTACCCATGGCTCTGCCCTTGTGTTCCCTGCCTTCTCGGCTATCCTGTGCTTAGTTTTCCTTTGTTTTCCTCCTTCCTGGAGGGGCTGGTCCATTTTTTCCATTCCCCCAGTCCCACCACACTTCAAATTTCCTTAGAGGTTCTCAGATCCCCTAAATTCATATGATCTCACAGTTGGAGCCCTCAGAAACTTCAGTGTCCCTGCATTTCTCCCTAGTAACAAGCAATAGAACAAGGAGAAATGGCCTTAAGCTGCACCAGGGGAGGTTTAGGCTGGATATTAGGAAGAATTTTACTGAAGGCATTGTCAGGCGTTGGAACAGCCTGCCCAGGGAGGTGGCGGAGTCACCATCCCTGGAGGTGTTTAAGAGATGGGTAGATGTGGTACTTGGGGATGTGGTTTAGTGGTGGTGGTAGAGCTAGGACACAGGTTGGGCTTGATGATTTTGAAGGTCTCTTCCAACCGAAACTGTTCTATGATTTCTCAGACTGTCTGTATCCCTTTTCTCTGCTAG